GTCATATGGTAACTCGATTTCTATCTGTTTTAGATATCGCCAGATCGATTTCCATAGTGGCTGTATATACTTACAGGTCCACCAGCAGTGGATGAGATTTCCTATTTCCCCACAGCCCCTCCAACACTTGTTGCTTTCTGATTTTTTTTTAATTGGGCTATCTTTGAGGGTGTTAGGTGGTACCTCATTTTATTTTGCATTCCTCTTATGGCTTAAGATCGGGAACATTTTCCTATATGTTTATTGGCCATTCGGATTTCTGCCCCTGTGAAACTTCTGTTCAGGTCCTTTGCCCACCTTCTCCGTGGGCAATTAGTTTTTTTCTTTTTGGAAGCTACTAGAGTATTGTAGATTTTAGTAATAAGGCCTTTGTTTGATGTGTCATTGCTAAAGATGGTTTTCCAGTCTGTGGATTCTCTTATTACACTTGGTGAATTCCTTCAATGTACACAGGTGTTTTATCTTCAGTATATCCCATTTGTCAATTTGTACCTCCTCTGTGTTTGTGTTTGTACCTTCCCTATTTCTGATAGCCTATGTATTCCCTGTGCCAAAGTTCTCAAGTTGGTCCCAATTTCCTCATTGATGGCCCTAATGGTTTGGGGTTTAACTTCAAGGTCTGTGATCCACCTTGAGTTCATTCTTGTGCGTGGAATGAGATATGGGTCTTCATTTTTCTGCAGGTAGATACTCATTTTTTTCCAGCACCACTTGTTAAAGAGCACATCTGCTTACAATTGTATATTTTGGGGGCCCTTATCAAAGATCAGTTGTCTGTATGCTGATGATTTTATTTCTGGGTTTTCAGTTCTTTTCCATTGGTCTGAGTATCTGTCATTGTAACAATACCATGCGGTTTTGACAGCTGTGGCTGTATAATATGTGCTATAGTCAGGTAAAGCAAGCCCTCCCACTGTGTTCTTCTTGATGAGTTCTCTGCTAATTCTGGGCTTCTTTCCTCTCCATATAAAGTTGTACATCAATTTTTCCATGTCTTTGAAGAAAGATGAGGGTAATTGTATCAGGATTGTAATTAAACTTATATACTGCCTGATGCAGAAGTGACATCTTTACTGCCCTGTTTCCACAAATATGACAGTGTCTTATATTAAGTTTTGCTTCCAAAGATGCGCTAGGTCTTATTTTCAGAGATGTCTTATTTTTCCATGAAGAAGAATACAGTACACATTTATTGTTGAACAAAAAAAGGAAATTTTTGTTAATCATTTTATTAGGGGCTCATGCATCTCTTATCACAGTCCATACATGCATCAATTGTGTCAAGCACATTTGTACATTAATTCCCCTCATCATTCTCAAAACATTTGCTCTCCACTTAAGCCCCTGG